CCCTCGGCTAAAAGAGCGGAATACATAATTAATTACCACACTATAATAATAATAGTAATATTTCATCTGAGACTGGGTAACCTTTGTGTGTAAATTACTCATAATGGGGCATTGATTACAAACGACTGGGTGATGATGATGCTCAACACAACCCTACATGTACAACGACGGCTGCTATTTTCAGGGTCGGCTCGCTATATATTAATTATTATTATATATAGCAGGAATATCTATGAGGAGTGTGAGTGAGTAGCTGCATTACTCGAGTCACCATGAATGAGTAACAGTTTTATTAGTTACTTCAATTTGAGTAAAAAGAAGCACATTTTTTTTTATAGATAGGCACAATGACAAACAGTCTTTTAGTGCCAGGAGGAGAAAGTAGTCAGACAGTTTAGTTTTAGTAGAGGTTTTACGGCGCTCGCAACTGCCTACGGTCATACGAGCTTTGGAACAGCCTGCTAAGTAAAAAAAAAAAAACAGAACTGAGATGCTATTTACCCGTACCCCGAGTCTGAGGAGTGTGTATGAATCAAGAGAAACACACTCACCACAAAAAACAGACACACAGAAACAACAACAACAGGGCCATCTTCCAACCACTCGCTTTGTATTAAATGTATCAGCACACCCACAGCAACATTTCACAAGAACAAACTGAACTGTAACCATAAAGAAGACAAAAAGAAAAAGAAGAGATAGACCACACCAGAACGCCTTCCAACTACTCCCATTCAAAATCTATGTCACAAAAAAGAAAAATTGAGAAGTTAGGCAAGAGAAAAAAGATGACATGGAGGCGAGCGGTACATAACATGCGGAAAAGGAAAGGGGGCGGGGACATCAAATCATGGAAACAGCTAGAAAAGGATGCACAGGACAGACTTCGCTGGAGAAATGTTGTTGATGGCCTCTATATATATGCTCCACTGGGAGTTAAAAAGGGCAAAAGAAGGAGGCAAGAAAAGAAGGAGGCAAGAAAAGAAGAAGGACTAAAACAGCAAAAAAAAACTTTTGTAGTTAGTTTGACTTACCCTGTGATCATTGAACCATAGCTAGAGTCATTGATGGTGTTGGACTTGTTCTGCTTTGTTTTCTTTCTTTTCTCAGAAAGTTGCTGTTCCATTAGTCCAACTTGCCACGTGAGCTTAAACACAAGTCTGATACATCAATTTGGCTGAAACAGAAACAGAGAAAAAAAAAAGACATTAGCCAATGAACATTTTGTGAAAGTGGAAGTTTTATCAACAATACTTAGCAGCATTTTTTTTTTCAACATTCAGCACTTCAAAACAGATAGAGATATGGTTTAAAAACACTTCTTTAATACATATTACATGTAACTGCTTTTTGTTTAGTGAAAAGAAGAATCATTTCAAATTTTGTTAGAACTTTTGTTCGTCTTGTCAATGTGCCTGAAATTCTTCCTCTCTATCTATTAGGAAAAGCAAGATCTTACCACCAATAAGACAACTAACAACTGGACTGAATTGCTTCAAACATACACAAATTCCTGCTTGAAATAGCAACACACATTCTTCTAGTGCAAACTTCAAAAACGGGCGTCTCACACTTAGGGCACGTGTTCCACCGTTCCGTTTTAGAAACTTTTACGACAATGCCCCACACAGCAACTGGGACAGCCAAGCCAAGCCAAATCTGGGCTGTTTCTATAAAAACCCATTGTGGAAATCCTTCCGTCTGATGACCTCAGAACAGCTCATCAAAATGGCAAAACACAACCCCCAGGCCATCTGGGGCCAGACTGAACCCACAGCTAGTTGAAAATGCCACCAAAAAAAAACGTCAGAGAACGGGTGAGAATCCTGGGGGAGGGGGGACTAGACTCTGGGAGTGTTTGAGTGTTTTCTTTAATTTCATGTATTCAGCTATGTACTATCATTCCTTTAAAAAATGTGTTGTTTTTAAAAAATTACATTTAAACAAATTGCAGTCAAAATTTTCCAAGATGGCCACCCAACATTACGATTGATTGTCAAGGAGAAATGCGGCTGTCTTAGACAGGTGGATATTTTGGACATCAAGGAGAAATGTGGCTGTCTTAGACAGGTGGATATTTTGGACACTGTCATTATGATAAAAGAAACATTATATAAGGGGGGGAAGTAGAAAATGGTCGTTTGCAAAAGTGACTGCTTGGGCAGGTGGCTGTTAGAAGAGCAGGTTCAACCTTACGTACAAGACTTCGCAAATAAACTGGCAAACCAATGACAGTGGTGTGAAAAAAAAATTTCTTCACTTCACAAAATAACACCCACAGCCAATCTACTACTTAGAGCTCATGAAACACTTCATTGAATTTCAGTCAAAAAAAGCAAAAAGGTGACACCAAAGACAATTTGAGAAACTGAAAAGGATCAACAGAAGAAATCTATACGAATGAAATTCTAAGATCTTGAGTTACTAGGTGTAGGAATTATAAGCTTGGTCTGACTCAAATCTTTTGTTTTTTAGCAAGTGTTTTACAGCAGTTGCAACACAATAAGGTCATTATATAGGTACCGAAGATTGGAGGTGTTACAAGAGAGAGAATATCAAACTCAAAAAAGAAGAAAGGGTCATTAATTAGTACACCGAGATAGATGTTTGATAGAGGCAAAAAGACGAAAGTCCTAGCAGACCACACAAGAGCACTCATCAACCACCCATGTAGGCTTGGTCTGACTCAAATCTTCTGAATGCCAGGCAAAAAAAACTTGAGAAAGAACCATTCAACCTCAGGTGCTAATTTCTTAGAGCCAAAGACGAAACAACACCACCGCGGCCACCCAAGCACCTGCACCCTGACGTGGCCCTCCTTATTAAAATTGTCTTCTTGGGTAAAACAAACAGCTGAGAGAAGACAAAACAGGACAAGACCATCTGCTCCCTCAAGCTTCCCTGCTTTTTTTTTTTTCAAACCGTTCTTGTTAAAATGAATGGCTGCGGAAAGCCAACATTTTGAGAACCACGCATCAAGCCACGTGACTGGGTTGTGAATAGACTAGACTAGCTATACGTATACGCACGTGTTTGGTCTCAAGCAAGCCCAAGAGACCTCCACCATATAATGACGACGTGAAAAAGGCTGAGAAAATTAATAATGGTAGTTGCGTAAACATTTCTACAGATGTGACAACAGCCCATGAGACGGACAATTTTTCCCGCCCCAACCTCTCTCAGTGTCGAACCAAATCAAAAAAAAAAAAGAACTCCGAAGACTGTTGTACCGAGACCTAGAGTTTCTGTAATTTACAACGCTTTTACACCGTTTCTAGTAGAGAACAACTGAACACGTTTCTCAGTGCCTGCCAGAAAGCCCATTTCCCATGGAATATAATCAGAGAGGCCCACTAGCTATGGAAAAAAAATCTTTTTAAAAGGATACAGACCTCAAGGAAAAGCCTGTTCAGCAACTCAAAATTTATGGATCATATTGTTGTATTTGACTATCAACAATTTATGGTGATCATTTTGCATGTCTTTCTAATAAAAATTTATGGATCATATTGCACTGATAAATTTGTAAAATCGGCACTTCTGAATATTGACAGCTCCAACTAACCTGACCTGAGTCTCTGAGACTTTCTATGCCACTTGCCAGTAAATTTTACGGAATCAACTCTTTTATTCAGCTAGTCTGATTTTGACAGACAATTAATGCGACCAAAAAAAATGGTACTCACTATCAAACGGAACAAACAAATACTATTCTTTATATTTTCAACTAATTAAAAATTCGTCTTCAGGATTCTTGAGCTCATTGAGCACTTTATTGCAAGGATGCAGTAAACACAACCAACCAAAAGATGACGGAAAAAACATAATTGAACATTTTCTTTAAAGACTCTGTGGCTCTGGCATGCTATTATCACTTCAAAACCGAACGACCAACGTTTATGTTAAAATTCTGTAAGATTGAACTTTGGTGGACCCAACACTGAACGAAGCCGGAACTACTTTTGAGCCCAGCTGTGCAATGGTCCGCTCTTATAAATTATAAATTATGTTATATTGGTTAGCATTTATAAATAATATGTGTGTTTTTTAAAATTATTATTGTTTCCAGG